GACGGGACCTTTGACCAAACAAAACCACTGGGCCGGTTGGAGGGTGCCTCGCATTGTTTCTCATATGATCTGACAGCGGCTACAGATAGGTGGCCACTGCTGGTGATGTTTGAAATAATGCAAGGCCTCTTTGACAGGTCCTTCGCCTCTGCTGTTGTTAATTCATGTCTTGCAACAAACATATTTGAGGTTCCTTTCGTAAAAAAGAAGGAATTCTACTGTTTGTTTTGTTGCTGGACAGCCGTTGGGGTATTATGCCTCTTGGCCTCTGTTTGCTTTCTCGCACCATTTATTGGTGTGGATCGCAGCAGAACGGGTTTACCCGGGTCTGCGCTTTGATAAGTACTGTGTACTCGGTGATGACGTAGTCATCGCTGACAAGCAAGTCGCTCCTGTCTATGCGTCTCTATTGGATGATCTTGGAGTAGACATTTCGGTGTCTAAGTCCCTGGTCTCTGAAACGGGGTGTGTAGAGTTCGCTAAGCGTTTCTTAGTTGACGGGTTGAAAAAGGATTTGAGTCCTGTATCAGCCCGCTGTGTTCAGAATTACTATCATCCTCACGGTCTAGCCGCGATTGACATGAAGTACAAAGTCAAACGGTTTTCGACATTGTGTCGGATTGGTGGTTCTGGATATAGGACGCTTGCTACCTTATCATCTTCTTCTTCTAAAGTCATAAGGAGGAGGAGGGCGATTTGGTACCACTACCGGCTACCGGTGGAATGGTGGCTTGGTAGGGGCGGACCTCTCGACCCGTATATGCGGGGTTTCTTGATCGATGTAGTCCGAAAGGAGTATCGACCGAGGGATCTAAAAGTTGTGCCAGACCACTACTTCTACCAGATTGGTATGAAGGAGTTTCAGGAATGGTCAATACTGCGCAGATGGGTTAAGAGGTGGCTCGATGAGGTGCATTGGTATGCTTCTGTGGCGTTAGATCCGTGTGTATCCTTACAGGTGATCCTGGAGGGACCACCGGTTGTGGAGAAGAAGTGGAACTTTAGTGCCCAGGATCCAAACCTGGTGCGCTTTGGTCTCTTATGGAAGCTCTATGATCTGGTTGGTAGCCTTGGCCCAAGTTGGAGGCCAGGCATTCTCTCTGAGGGATCATCCATCGCTAAGATGGGTTATCTGTTAGGGCCTTGCGGTGCTAATAGCTTCTTGGTCTCTGCTTTGGGCTTAGAACAACCCAGAGCAGGGAGAGGTGTGATTTACCCGTTGTCGGGTAACGCGCCTCATAAGACCATTCGCAATAAGACTTTAGGCGTCTTCTGTGCTAGACCTTCTTCTCGCTGCGTCGTTACTACATACAATATTACAGCTACTTCGCTGCTACGTCGCTCACCCTGACTCAAAGCCTTACTTTGATTATTAAGTCAGCTCTTTCAGCCTCTTCGACTTACTTTAAAGCTCAGCCACTCCGTTCCATTCGCCTTACGGCTGGCTCACCGACTCCATGAACTTCCTCTCATCTATACTCATAATTCACTCTTAAGATCTTCCTATGAACATTTATTCAATACTTCCGAATTGCTTGACTGTTCATCATCTTGCTAATTGTAAGAGCAATAAGGTTGTATCTGGAGTTCCTTGGACCTTGGTCTTTTCATTTGCAATCTGGTTGTTCTGGTATTGGCGGAACTGCCAACTGTTTGTAACAGAGTTTATTTGGCCCTCTAATGCAAGGCAAATAATTCTTGCCAAAGCAAAAGAGGCTCATGATGTTCTGGCAAAACATAGTGTGAAACTGAAACATGAGACTTGGATAAGCTGGGTTCGTCCACCATTTCCTTATGTGAAAATCAATGTTGATAGAGTTTAAAGATTGGTGCCAGCAAGGGGAAGGGGAGATACTTCAGTGAAAATTGCGAAGTCTAATGCAGTGGCAATCCCAAAATCACGTCCTTTGACGAAGGAGACAGCTTTGAAGGACATTTCGAATGTTATCTCTTGCAACACGAAAGCAGAACAGTTGAAAGAGTTGCCTCCTCCCACATCATCAACTCACACCCCCATTATGGAAATTGTTCCTGCTACAGGCAACAATAAGGATAATGGGGTTGGGGGAAATTTGGGGCTAGGAGTTAATGGGGCCTCAAGAGAAAAAGGAACAGCCTACATGGATGAAGATACAGGGAATACGGAGATAGCTAGTGCTGCCAGTAGTGTCCTGGATAAGGACGAAGCTATGCAGGTTTAATGCCTTTGTGTGTTATTTTCCTTCCTTTTTATGTTAATTTATTATGATGATTAACATAATCAGTTGGAATGTTAGAGGTTCGTCCTCTAGAAGAAGTGTGCGGAATATCCGCAATTTAATTGTGTTACACAGGTTACATATCCTTGTTATTTTGGAGCCCAGAATATCAGGTGCAAGGGCTGATGCTATTTGCAAAAGGATTGGGTTCTCGGACTTCTTTAGAGTTGAGGCTGAGGGTTTCTCAGGAGGAATCTGGCTTCTATGGAACTCTTTGTCAATCAATGTGGAAATTGCAGCCTATTCATCTCAGTTAATTCATGCACTGGTCTCGTTCCACGGGGGCGAGGAATGGTTACTTTTTGCTGTTTTTGGAAGCCCAGATACTACAGAAAGAAAAGGTCTTTAGGAGTCTCTCATTCGTACAAGTACCCTGCATTGCCTCCCTTGGCTTATCCTTGGTGATTTCAACCAAGTGATTTCGCATGAGGAGAAAAAAGGGAGTCGGAATGTCAACTTGGCAAACTGTAAACTGATGCTTGATTGCTTCAATGCTTGTAATGTTATGGATCTTGGAGCATTGGGTCCTAAGTTTACTTGGAAAGGAAAAGCTGAAGTCTAATACACGGATTCGTCTTGATCGAGCCGTTGCAAATGATAAATGGTGTGGACTCTTCAATAGTGTTTTGGTGTACAACTTACCACGCACTAGTTCTGACCACCATCCGATCTGTGTTAAAGGTACTTCTGAAGTTTCGAATGGCCAGGGCACATCATCTTTCAGATTTGAAAATACATGGATTTCGCATGAGACTTTCTTGGAAACTGTCGTTGGGAATTGGGATCATTCAGAACCTGACTTACTTGCAGTCCTTGATAATCTCTCTGGTGGGCTTAGAGCTTGGAGTAAACTGGTCTTTGGTGATATTTATCGAAGGAAGAGGAGGGTGCTTGCACGACTCAATGGGGTCCAAAAAAGGCTGGAACAGAGATCTAATGACTTATCTGCAGAATCTTGAATTCTTTCTTATTGAAGAGTTCAATTTGGTTTGTTTCCAAGAAGAGACTATGCTACAGCAGAAGGCTCGGGCAGACTGGCTCAAACTTGGTGACAACAACACTAAGTTCTTCCATGCTGCTATAAAGAAAAGAGCGAAGAAAAAACTGATTGCTGCCTTAAAGGACGATGAAGGTAACTGGTGTTATGAAAAAGACTTGTTGAAGACGATGGTTCAGAATTTCTACAAGAATTTATACACGGATGAAGGGGGTAGCGGACATGATACTTTGCCGCCTGCTTTTCTCTATAGGGGTGCCAGTAGCTTTCTTCTCGGCGGCGATTATACTTTCCCAGGGTCAGGCTACGGAAGAAGATCAGCAGCCTAGCCCAGTTGCTTCCCTTCCAGTCGCCTCCTCTGCTAAGTCGCAACCTCTCTCAGGCGCAAATAAGCCCTCTTTTCTTTCTTATCCTGTTGAAGGATTTTGATCAACTCAACTATATCGTTTTCCCCAAAAGATCGAGCTTACCTCATGTCAGTTCAATCTTCTCATGAACCTGAATCATTTGCTGAAGCCTCCAATCATTCTTGCTGGAGAGATGCTATACAGGAAGAAATCAATGCCCAGGAGCAGAAGCGCTTTCGTTGTCTTTTCTCACTTGGTCGATCTGGCAGTTCATTTCAGTTCGGTGGCTAAATAGTTAGCTATCAAGCTGGTGGGACTGGAACTCAACCTGCACATGTAGTAAGGTTGGGTCTCTTCCCCTCCACAGTAGTGGAGCTTTTCCTGAAGTAAAACAATGAAACTAGTAGAGGAAGGAAGCGATGACAGGAATGTCGTAAAGGAGAAGAACCGACTACTTATGCGCTTGCCCTTTATCTGCCCTACCCGCCCCCTTCTCTTCTAGGGATGAGGAAGGAAGAAGGTGATGTCCGGATAAGCTCCAACTGGAGAAATTGGAACTGGAAGAAGCTATGCTACCTTTGGCTCTCCTTATCCTTCCAAGTAAACCACTCCTTCTCTGACTCTAACCTTTTAAAGCACTCCTTTGGTCAACAAGGGAGAACCACTACGATGGAATCCTAATTCTCCCGAAGGTAGGCATTTAGCCAAGGCACTGGCGCCTGCCGCATTGAAGAAATGATCCGCTCCAGCAATATCGCCACTAATAAGCGCTGGTACACTTTCTACCGAGCTTGCCGCCCTACCCCATTAGTCCCATTCTTGAGTGAGCCACCCCTCAAATCAAAAGAAGAAGAGGCTTGACCTGCTACGTACGTCCTACTCTTCAACTTCTTTCTACCGCGATTCCTATTCAAAGACACTGTCGAAAGGGGACAATAGGCATAGTCCTCCTTCTCAGAGTCAACCAAAGTGAAGGGAACGAACGAAGCGAAGTGAAGTCAAAGTGGCTAGCTGGCATGAGGGTCGATGTAATTGAGATTAAACTGCCACGCCGACGATTTCTTTGGGTCTTTCCGTCTGGAGGTCGATAACAAGGGAGTCCGAACAGTCAGTTCGTCGGCTATTTTTTTCGGCGATGTTGCAACCTCTTGCTCTTTTGGCTAGTAGGAGTTGGACATGCTCGAAAGCAGCCCCTTTTTGCGGCAGAGTGGGCAGCATCGCTTTCCCTCGTTGGTTTTTCAAGACCGACGCGCGCAGTGGGTGGTATTATTGGCGTATACCACGGTGGGGTCTTCGACTGGAGTGAAGTCGTAACAAGGTAGCCGTAGGGTCGATGTAATTGAGGCTAGGAAAACTTCTAAATCAGTTAATCCCTAAGTTCAGTTGCTACCTGGATCAAGCTCCCATTTTT